GTTGCTATAAACCTGGAGTAACAACAAGGTGTGAGCAGGCTGCACTTACTCTGTCCTTACTTGTTATTGAGGCTTTGCACCTCTGGCTCAAACTGACAGAATTTGAGAGATTTCTGTTGTAAATTCCTTTTGCAGGTTTGGAGTTAAAACACTTTTTCTACTTGAGGCTGGATTAGGTATTTTGTTGAGTGTATTTTTAGCTGTGCCAGCTTTGCTTTATATATAAATATATATATATACATATTATTATTTGTGTTCTTCTTTCCTGGTAATAAAGTATTTTAGTAAAGTTGTGTATAAACAATAATCTGACTCGGATAATAAAACTGACAACTGGTTGTGAAGATGTTACCAACAGATAATTTTACTGAATTTGTCACATTGGAGAAATAAGTTCCCTTTGTGGGACTTAGCAGACACACAATACCCCAAAGATAACAGAGTTTGGTCAAGAAAAAGACCTATCAGATCTTTTAGTTCTGCATTTGGATAAATTTGGTAACACGAGCAGTTTGAGTGTTTTGTTATGAAGCAAAAACCCCGGTTATTGCATCCAGGGAGGAAACAAAACCCTGCTTAGACTTGGGGAAATGCTTCTGCTTTCTGTGCTCCCTAACACACAACCTTAGTTCTATTTTGAAGTTGAGAGCTATTAAAAAAGAGGTATTTTCTGATCTAGGCAATCTCTCAGACAACAAAAAGACACAAACCGTTCACTTCTAATCACCAAGGAGCCGATAACGAGGTAACTCTTATACAAGTGCAGTCACATTACCACATTTTTGGTAACCAAAAGAAAGATTATTTAGCAGCAACCTCCCTTCTTTTAAATATATTGCCCAAGTTTATCCTGGTATTGCAGATTTCTTATTACAAGCACCTCTCCAGGTGCCAGTTTTGCCTCACTGCTCCCTGCAGGCATGTTCATGCCCCACCTCATCCTGCAGCCATGGAAATGTTTGGCTTGTCCAAGTTCTGTCAATGCCAGGACTTCTCAGTGCTGCTTCTCAGAGAGTCCTTTTTCCAGCAGAGAGGGAGATAAGAGCTTGGGAGTGAATGTATCTGATGGTAACCCTGAGCATGTCAGTCCTGAAGGTCACCCACAGCACAGGGATCTTGTTCCACCCAGTCTCCTGATGTGGGGATGTCACTGTGCCATCAGCCAGGCAAGCTCAGGCACTGTGAGGACTCATAACATGAATTTGGCACTGTTATGAATCCCACCTACCAAAATCCAAAGGCTGAGAGGCTGTTGGATTGCTAGAATTGCTCCAGTCCAGATTGGGAAGCATCAATAAATATCTGAAGAGAAAAGAAGGCTCTGGAAAGACTTTACAGCCCCTTCCAGTGCCTAAAGGGACTCCAAGAGAGCTGGAGAGGGACTTTTGACAAGGGGGAATGGCTTCCCACTGCCAGAGGGCAGGGATAGATGGGATATTGGGAAGGAATTCTTCCCTGTAAGGGTGGTAAGGCCTTGGCACAGGTTGCCCAGAGTAGCTGTGGCTGCCCCATCCCTGGAAGTGTTCAAGGCTTGGAGCAATCTGGTCTAGCGGAAGGTGTCCCTGCCCATGGCAAGAGGTGGAACTGGATGAGCATTAAGGTCCCTTCCAACCCAAACTATTCCATGATTCTGTGATATTTCAAGCCAAAGGAGCAAACACAACTGTGTCCGTTGGCAGAAGATGGGGTGCAGGAGAGACTCCAGCCAAATCCAGAGGGGAAACAGCAGGAAGAAACAGTCACAGCCCTGTTGGGAAGATCTGTTCCTAGAGCAGATAAGGGCAGGGATGCAGGCACAGCCTCACATGAAGGGAACACAAGTGCAGAGTGCCAGATGGCTCAGCACTGCCAGACGTGTACTCACCACACTAACAGGACCTGCCTGTAATTGCCTGACCAGTTCTTCCACTGCATGAAAAGTGTTCCTGTGGGAGACAGGCTTTTGCTGATATTGTTTGCAGGCAGGCTCCAGGAAATCCAGTGAACTATGTCAGGAAGAGGAAGGACTTGTCCTGCTTCACCAAGAAACCCAGGGAACCAAACACTTTATGTGCTGCCCCAGATCTTGAAGGATTTGCATTTTCAGGGATCCTTCAGCAGCCACTTAACAAAGACTGAAAAGCTTTGTTTGACTTGGGGAACAAGAGGTTATTTCTATCCACTCATCTTCCTAATATAGAATAATACAATAATGAAAAGATTTGGGTGGGAAGGCACCATCTTTTTCCAACGCCCATGTCATGAGATGACCCAAAGTAGTGGTGGGCTTGGCAGTGTTGAGTTAATGGTTGGACTTGATGATCCTAAGGGTCTTTCCAACCTTAAATATTCTCTGAATCGATGAAATTGTAGCCTTGAAGGATTCTCTCTTAGTGTCCTGCATGTGCAGTGTCACAACCCAGAGACATTTCATATGAGCTCCCTGAGCACCTGCAAGTCAAGCACGTTGCTGCAGTTGAGTGAGCTGGCTGATTTCTAGGATTCCCTGGCTCTGAGATCCCCTGGGATTCCAGAATGCGCCCAAATACATAAGCAGTAAATCCCTCTGGAGAAGCATGTGACGCCAGGCCTTCCTGAGCAGCAATGACAGCTCTTACTGGTTGTTTTACACTCCAAATTAATGCAAGTCAAGAGATATGACAGATTATTAAAATCATTTCTGGGAAAAGAAAAGGCTGCACTAAAATAAGGAATAAATGAAATTAGAAGTGAGCAAAAGCAGGCAGAGAGAACACAGCCAGCATGTAGGGACAGGCAGATGCAGGCTTGGAAGAGGATGCTGGATTCCCTTTGGAGAAACATTAGTGTTGGGACTCCCACCAGGCTGTCTGCCAAGGGGGATAATTAAGCTAAATAAAAATACACACCAGTAACAGCTCCACAAATGAGGGTAATTTAATTACCACATTCGATATAGGAGACCCACTTCCCATGAGTTTTCCATTGTGACCAGAGAGGAGACAATAGCGGCAGAATGTGCTGGAGAAAGGAAGAGTCATTTGCTAAAAAGAGATTTTCTATTAGGGTCTGCATAATAAACATCAGCACAGCTTTCCATAATCGTGTCATAATCTTGCCATAAAATTCAATCAAACAACAGCTTGTGAATGTCCAAAAAAATCAATGGAACCGTACGAGAAGTGATTGCAGATGTAACACTGGGATTTATTTCAATGCTCAATCCATGGGGGTGGGAAGGAACAGTTAAAGAACAGGGAAGCAGGTGTGCTGCCAACACCTCTTAGGGAAGAGCTCCTCTGCCTCAAATCCAGAGATAAGCACAAACAGTATCACAGAATCACAGAATATTTAGGGTCAGAAGGGACCTCTGGAGGTCACCCAGTCCAACCCCCCTGTGCAGGCAAAGGGTCACCTGGAGCAGGTGACACAGGTGACAAACATAGTAGGCAAAGTACAGTTCAGATAGTAATACCCACTTATTTGATTTTTGGAAAAAGAGATAATTTCTATCCACTCATCTTCCTAATATAAAATCACAGAATCATGGAATGGTTCGGGTTGGAAAGGACCTCAAAGCCCATCCAGTCCCACTCCCTGCCATGGGCAGGGACACCTTCCACTACACCAGGTTGCTCCAAGCCCCATCCAACCTGGCCTGGAACACTTCCAGGGATGGGGCAGCCACAGCTTCTCTGGGCAACCTGTGCCAGGGCATCGACACCTTCACAGGGAAGAATTTCCTCCCAACAGCCCATCTAACCCTGCCCTCTGGCAGTGGGAAACATCCCCCCTTGTCCTGTCACTCCAGGCCCATGTGAAATAAAATAGTTGTCAAACTGCCCAGGCCATGGTCTCATCTGGAATCCCAACCCAGTGTCCTTTCACTGAGCTGTATTTACAACCCAAGAGCTGCAGATTTGCTTTATTCATTAGTGCTGGAATGCAGTGGAAAGCAGAGCTAATGTTGGGCTCCCAAAGAGCTTTATCCACTGCCTGATGCAACTCTAAAGTGCTCTGTTAAGTGAGAGTGAAGTGGAAATATTCCCCCTCCTTCTCTTTCTCTGGTGAAAACACTTAGTGGCCAGCACAGGCTCAGATCCTTTGAAAGGAACGGAACGAGTGTGTCCACTCAATTATTTAAAACAGTTGAGTAATTGCAGCCTTGTCAGCTCAGAAAACATCTCCCTCTGTCCAAGCTGCTGCACAAGCCCATTTCTGGGCAGGCAGTCACAGCAGCACCAGTTTTCTCTTTATCTATTCCCACACTCTCCCAGTCCGTGCCACTGGTGAGGGATGAGGCTGTGTGTCCCCGTTTGCAGCTGGTTTTGCCGCAGGGTAAAACTCAGAAGGAGGGAGGTGGGAACACCTTGGGAGACTTTTTGGAGGTGGCAGGTTTCTTTGTGGGCTGTGCTGGCTGAGGACTCCATAAATCCTTCCAGAAATCTCTCAGGGCATGGTGTGTGCTGGAGATAAATATTACAATAGGAGGCTTAGAGGAAAATGGATTCAGACAGCCAGGAGAGCCCAGGGATGGAACGGGATTGGGTAGAAAAGTCCTCCTGTTAAACAGCCTCTGGAGAAGCTCCTTTAGCTGGGCTGGGAGATTGGAAGGTTACCACAACTGCCTTCCAGAGATTCCAGTCCCACAGATCCCTGGTTGTTTCTTCCCTAGTCCCAAAATACACAGAGAATCACAGCTCCAAGGCCCACACTCAGCAGCACCTCTGTTTTATTCCACAGCTGTGCTGCATCAGTCCTGTCCTGTCCAAAAATGTGTGTTTTCCTCCTCCCTGAGGGGTTGTAGGACACGGAACAAGAACAACCAGAATGACAAGTCCACATGCACACCCATCTAACCTGACCACCTGAAAACTAAGGTTTGTTCCTTTGTCCTGAGAAAAAATGTGCAGGAATGCCATTATTTCCCAGAATGGATTTCTGGGACATTTTTAAAGCACATTTCAAGAACCAGTTACCAAAGCAAATGAATTTTATACACTGACAGTGCTGGATTTTCACAAGCTCATTAACTGGCTCACCTTAATGGGAACTTCTCCCCAGGGTCCCTTCCCAGGTGGAACAGCAGTGGCAGGTAAGTATGTTCCTCCTGTGTGTGTGTTGTCACTCCAGAGACACTCTGCCCAGGACAGAAATCAGTGCCCTGCAGGAAAAGGCAGAGAGGTCATCAAGGGTGACACAGGAGAGAGAATAAAATTGATTCCAGTGACAACACTTTCGCCAGCACCTTGTTCCAAAATACCTACAACACCCAAGAGTCCACTTCAGTCTGCAAAACAGATTCTGAGCTGGTGGGGTAAAATAAGGTGACAAAGTGGAGTTGCACTGACATAAAAGCTGAAGCACCTCGTATATTCTTGTCTTATAAAAATACAATCCCTGTAAAATATTCATTGAAATGAAATGGCAAAACAAAAGATAAAGAGGAGGAACCATTTAATCATAAAAATTCTGCACATGGAAAGTATCTTCTCTCTTCAGTTCCTATGGCTTCGAAATAGAGAGAGGATTGGATCACTTTGCAGTTCTGATCAAAAACAAAATCCCAGGAGGAACACCCAGTCACCCTGAGAGGCAACAGGCCCTGAAAACTCCCTTGCCAGCACCTGAAGGATCAGTTTTTCTGAGGAATGAAGCAAACCTGGTTAATTTAAAAAAAATAGGTGTGATTTTGATCTGGTTCATAGCAAGCTGGCATTGAGGCACTCACCTGGGCATGACAGTGGGGTTGGCAGGGCTGTAGGAAGCCTGGAGACATTCCTGTCACTAACAATATGTGGGGTCAGAAGTTGGGATTTTCCCTGCAGCAGCAGGGCACAAGTACTGGGGATTGCCCTGGGAAAGCAACTGGGAGCAGTAAGGGGTTAAGCGCTCACTGGGCACTGAGGGACAGAGTTTCCAGCTCCCTCCATCTGCCCTTCCAGCCTTGCTAGGCTCCTGCTCCCCAAGCCCAGCCTGTTATTAGCCAGTTGTGAGCTCCCTAATCCTTGGCCTGCAGCCTCCAGAACCCATTTAAACCCTGGGAATAGCCAAAAATGCAAAAGCACTAATTTCCCTGAGCAGCCAATAAAGCAGGGCCCCTCCAGCCCAGCAAGGACTGGCCCCAAATGGACTTGTTAAAGCTGGGCTTTACAATTCCAGCTCCCACGCTGCGCTCCTTACAATCCCCCAAAATGCCCCGAGACATGGACAGAGACATGGAGAGAAGGTAAATGGGAATCTTTCAATGGAAGTGGGAAAGCAGCTGTAGCATTTGCTTATAAAACAAACTGAAAAGGCTCTCTACAGATGTTGGTAGGATTTGATTGGCAAACAATTTTCTAAAAATATCCCATGTTTTTAATGGACAGCTGGTCAGTGGAGCAGTTAATATTCTGCTTTTCAATAAAGCAAGAAGTTTAGAAGCCCATGAAATCCCATTTATCTGCACAGAGCTATAGATTCCTGAATCACTGACTGGAAAAATAAGGGAGTTGCTTGATAGGTTGGAGTGGCCCTACCAATAATGGACTTTAAATGGATACAAAACTGATTGACCTTTCCACCCTGTGACGCCACAGGCCTCTGGAACACACAGGGAAAATAGATTTTTGTGGTATTTTTTTCCACAAAAGGACCAGTTAATAAAAAGGTATCAAAGCCTCTATGACATCCAAATTATAATTTGGATGCAAATCAAACAAGCAATTTAATTAAGAGCCTGCTAATTGGTACAATGCTCCTCGGCTGCAAATGCTTCTGTTTGAAAGAAGATTTTAGTCTCTTGGGTATTTGTTTAGACATTGCTCTGTTTACATTTTAGCTTTTGTTTCCTATAAATTCTTTGTAGCCTGGACTCCAGAACACAGCCCAGGCTACAATCCCAGAGATTCCCAGGAAAGAAAGTGCTGGTACAATTTGCCTGATGGCACCAGCCAAAAGCTGTCTGTCCTTCTAATTTAAGCACTCAACGCCCTCTTCAAAAGCAGCCTATTGTGGAAAATCAAAATAAATAAATAAATAAAACGCCAATAAATAAAACTACCATTTTATGACATTGGCTGAAACCACCCTTTAAATTTCTAAGGCATTTCAACTTTATCTCTGCAAATAAAATGGACTATTATTATTTTTATGTACCGTGTGACAGCCAATATTCAACTTGCAGAGAGCGCTTCAAAGATTTTCTACCTCAACAAATGAGCAAAAATATGATATAAATATATTATTTTATTTTATATATATTTTATCAAATATATATTATACATTAAATGTATAAAAATACACCCTCAAACCCCTGATCAAGGCACTGTCCTGTATCAGAGTAATTAACACACTACATATACAGCCAGAGGAGCCCAGTCCTCTGCTCCTCTGCTAGGAAAGAATATTTAACTTATCTTTCTCACCTTTATCTTGTTCTGTTTATCAGTCAAAGCATTTTCAATTCTCAGGATAGAAAGAAATCCTATACCATCTTAAAAACCCTGGGATCCCCAAGTCTGGATTGCTTTGCTTTCCTGGGGCAAACCAGTCTAAATTAAATCTGCTTGAGACTTGAGAACTATTTAAGGGCAAGACAAACCACATTCTGGAGTACCTGGACCACGCCTCTGGTTGCTTGGAAGGTTTGGTGATGTCTGGAGCTATGTCATGTCAGAGAAGAGCTGACAGGTGCCTAAGCCTGTCCTATCCACCAGGAAAACACAACCCAGATCTGCCACCCCTTCATCCCCTGTCATTCCCTTAAAGGTATTTATTGTCAGACTGTTAATAACAATATGCAGGGATCAAGAGCCACTTAAAGCACATTCCTAATATTTTATCCTGCTCACTATCCAAGGTAATAGATGGAGTCCCCATCCCTGGAGGTGTCCAAGGAACAACTGGACGTGGCACTCAGTGCTCTGGTCTGGGTGACAAGGTGGGGATCGGGCACAGGTTGGACTTGATGGTCTGGGAGGGCTTTTCCAACCTCAGTGATTCTGTAATTTCCATGTCCACAGGTAATGCTGACCAAACACAGTGGAAAGATCACTGCCTGTGTTTAGGTGAGCTCTTGGAGCTTTTCTCCTCCATCACAAAAGCATGAAAGCCAAACCAGAAGACCCTGTCTAGAACATCTCCTCCTTTCTAAGGGAGCCCATAAAAGAGCATCAAATGGCACCAGACATAGCTCAGCTCTGTACTAGCTCTAACACAGTATTTTGCACCACTGTGTAAAACTGTTTGTCATAGGAAAAATTCCAACAGTCATTATTATTATTATTATTGTTATTATTATTATTATTATTAAAACATAACATTCCCTGCCCATCACATGAACCTCCCAGAGAGCCCATCTTCCTGTCCTTCCCAGCAATCAAGTAACCCAGATTGTTTCCCTGTTCCTAAGACACTGCAGCCCTTGGCTGCACAGCTTATGCTCTAATTTCCAGAGCAAATGGACCACAGATGCTGTGTCAATATAGACATGAGACAAACACAGCCGGTTGCCAGTTTGGGCTCTGGGCCAAGAGATGGAATCACCACTTGTGTTAACGTGAGCCCTCTGGCAATTCCTCACCCTGGCTCCAGCCCAGATCGCTCCGACTTGACAGGCGGCCGCGGATTTGGATGGTGCCGCACAAATCTGGGATCTGTCTCCTGCTCATGTCTCCTCCTTCCACCACGCAAAACCCAGAGCAGCAAAACCGTGTTAATATTGGAAGGAGAAAAGCACAGCTGTTAATTAAAGCCGGGAATGTTGTTTCTTGCTGTTTGCCACAGCACCTGTAAATGGTGCTCTCCCTTCCTAGGTGATTCCCAGTGAAATTCTCCTAAAGTGGAGCTCAGGATGAGCAGACATCTCAAAGTGTGACTGCCAAGCTTCAACACTGTGGACCAAGAATTGCCTCTAATGTGTTAAGTGGCTGGAAGAGCCCCCAGAAGATGGGCAGCCCCCGAAGATGGGCAGCTCACAAGCCTCCCGATCGATGGCTGGTTCATATGCTCAGAGGACCACAATGAAATGTCATTATTTGTGAGGTTCTACTTGACTTCACATCCCCTGTGCAGAAAAGGCTTTATCGATCCCTTCACGTGGAGGAGAAGGGCAATCAGACAGTCTGACTGGAATAACCCCTTTGGCATTTTGCATTAAAACAATAGGAGCTGCTGGCAGGCGCCTACAGCCATCCTTTAAAGTCACAGCGGCGCTCTGGAAACTCAGTGAACACTCCTAACAAGCTGACAGCAGAAAGGTTGATGTTATCAGCCACTCTCCAACAACCAAAGGGCCTTTTCCACATGCTTTTCTTAATTATTTTTCCCCTTCTTGAATCAGTGCTCTTGGAGGGCACAAGGATTGTTCTGTGCTGGATACTCTTGGTGGCAGTCAGAGAAAAGGAAATTTCCTCTCTCTTGCAGCTCCCACTCCTGCCTCCCCCACACAGCATGAAATTAGTAGATTCCTGAGGACTTGCTGCCTACTCAGTTAAATCTATAGAGAATACCCAGTTTTGCCCCTTGCAGACCCCTACTTCCAAACAAGAACAGCATTTTACAAGTGATTTCCAGTAAAAGTCCTGTGTGTTACACTATGCGAGGGATCTCCCCAGGTTTATCCTTAGTTCTCCCTTTTGCTATTTTTATCACTGCTGATTTTTGCTGTAGGAAAGGTGGACAACGATGGAAAAGCTTTATACCCATCAGTCAGAGCAACAGGGACTCAGCACTGTGCAGGAGGGAGATCTCTCTCCCCCTACCAAACTATTTAAAAATACAAACACATTTTTCAAGTCAGGTTTCCTTTCATCTCTCTCTGTCCCATTTATCACCTCTTGAATGTCAGAGACGTCAAATTATGTAAACATGAGCCACCTATATAGATGGAAACCAGGTAAACAGCTCTAAATAAGCATCCTGTGCAATCCACAGGGAAAATGTCCCATGAAGTGCTTATTCCCACTTGCTTCTGCTGAGTGAGCCTTCCCTTTATGCTTTCAAGAGACCACCCCTTCAACAATCAAAAAATCCAGTTAATCCAGCAGAAAAGAGCATCAAAGTATCCTCCAGCACTGAGAGAGACTACAAGACTTTATGACAGGAGTCAGACTAGAAAAAAAAATTGCTTGGGGGTTAAAAAATAAACAAGCAAAAAACGGGAAGAACAGAAGAGCACAATTCATCTCTGTGTCAGATGACAAGTTCTAATCCCAGGCCATAAGGCAGAGGATGCAGACCAGTAAGGGCATGTTACTGTCAGGGGACTTTGGGATGACTGTAAACCTTGCATGCTTGCATGGGATGTTTCCAGGGTAAATATTCCAAGTGCCATATGGAGAGAAGCCTTCAGATCCCTGTTCTGCTTTCCTAGGCTTTGTTTTCTGCGAGCTGTGTCTCCCTGGTGCATTTTTATTTGTGTGTACATTCCTTATTGCTGAACTAACTTACTCCCCATTCAAACCCAGCTTTCCAGGTGAGGGGCCAAAGTTGGCCACATCCTTCCTTGTTCATCCTGGTCATCTTAGACAGACCCAGGACAGGCACCAGTTTCCCATTTTCCAGCATCAACATGAAAATGTGGGTTTAGCTGCTTTAATGGTATAATCTCATCTGAAATTCAAACAAAAATAAACCAAGTGTGGATTAAAACTAGGGCAAGTTTTCTGTATTGATGATTTCCCACACTGTCAATTACCAAGGGAATTCTGAAAGTGAAAGGAGGCTTCACTAAACTGGGCCTTGTATCTGTCCAAATAATGAGATATTCAACTACTCATAAACCAAACCTCTTAAAAATGTGCAGGCAGCTGTTCTGCTACATCTGGCCAACTCTTTCCAATGGATGACATGCCAACCAAATACTCCAGGTCTGAGTGTGGACCTTCAGACACAGAGAGTTTCATATCTGGAAGTTTAATACAGCATCACACTGGATTCACAACGAGGAAGGGCCTCTAAAGATCATACAATTAACAAGGCCTCATTAGCTGAAGTTCTGCTGAGATGGCAAATCAAACTTATCAAACAATCAGAATTCCAAATGCCACAGATGTGCATGGGTTTAAATATGTTTTTCAAATTAAATTAGCAAACAAACTGGCTTTTTTGATTCTGGAGTCCAATATTAACACAGCTGGGAAGTCACTGAAAGAGGCAACTGTATCACAAGGTGAGCTTAGAAACTCCTCCAAGAAGGCTCAGAACTGGTCTGCATTCTGATTTATTTCTATTTTTAAACTTGCAAGGCTTGTAATTAATGGCTCGAGGACATGAGGAGAATTGGAACAAATTTCAGCCTGAGCTTCCTCTGCATGTTGTTAATGGCTGGTCTGGCCACTAATGTGCTCCAATTTTCCCCACATCCAGCACATGTGATCCAAGCTGCAGGAAAGAGAGTGAATTTGTAATGGTCTCTCTGATGTAGGGGATAATTGCTGACTTTTATCAGACAGTAGTTAAACAAAGACTTGGAAGGAAATAAATATTCCTTAATTGCACGACTGCCATTGCTCACAGTGGGAGAGCCTCTGGAAGGAGGAACTGGTCCCCACTATCACTGCTCCACACAGACCTTCAGAAATAAGTTGAGATCAATGTAGGGGTTTATTTATTCCCCAACTGGGTACATAAGTGTGGGTATGTGCTTTTATCACCATGGAGAGCAATAATTCATGTGGGAATTTTCCATGCACATGGGAAAAGCATGAGCCCATCCCTACACCCAAACACATGGACATACAAGCTCCCAGTGTCTCCCACATAAGGAAAATCCTCCACATGAGATATATGGGTTTTACTCACATACTAGACAAATAAATTATCTCATTTTATCTGTGTGGAATTAGCATTGAGACAGAGCATAAAATATATTTCTAGAGCCAACTTTCCTTTCCTCCTTACTCCCTGTAAAACAAACTTTGACTCCTGGAGCATTACAGCCTTCAGGAAGACAAACACACATATTTACAACCCTGAATGTAAATGATTCCCTTGGAGCTGACGTTTCCCTCTACCCCCAGGACATCCCAGCGAAAGAATCCATGCACTTTTATATCCACAAATGTCATCAGCACTTAGTTCTGCACCTGTGATGCCTTGAGGACCCACCATAAGTTCAAAAAAAGAGGCATAAAAAAATAACTCATGCAAACAATCCCTCCCCAGTCCCAGTCTGCTGTCAGGATTTTGCTGAGAGCTGTGTCCTAATGCACTGAGTTCATGTCTAAAAGTATAATCAGCAAGGCACACGTGTGAACCTGCCACTCAGAAAATGCCCCAGAGTTTAGTACCCAAGTCTGAGGCAAGAAAGATACAAAAAGAAAGAAATAATAGTGCTTAACATCTAATTACGAGGAGATCAGCCAGGAAATAAGTAAAATTAATAAAATGTAAACCACTGTGTGATGGGGGCTTGCAAAAATGCTGATAGTAGATGAAACACATGGATTTTACTGCTCTTTCTACTGTGCCTTTCCTACAGCTTTCCTTTCACCTTTCAAGGAAAAAACATCACAAACCCAGCAAACCCATCCCTGTTCCATTTAAATAGTTCAAGGCACCAGGTGTTTTGTCCTAGGAACTGTAAGACGTGATCCATGTAGCATCGGCCTCCAGACTTTCACAGAATCACAGAATATCCCGAGTTGAAGGGACGCAGAGGGAACAGCAAGTCCAACTGCAAGGGGATACCTGAAAGCTCACAATTCAGCAGGGAAAGAAGTTTAATATTAAGGGGGGATTAAGTGAGCATTAAAGGGAGCACCTTCAGAACAACTTGGAATTTGCCCATTTTCCTTTCCTTGTCCCTGACTTCAGGAGAGGGGCGTGTGACACCTGTCTCCTTAGATTTTCATAGGATCATAGAATTATTTAGGAAAAGCCCTTTAAGACCATCAAGTCCAACCATTCCTCAGCACTGCCAAGGCCACCACTAAATATGTCCCCATGTGCCACATCCACATGGCTTTTAAATCCCTCCAGGGATGGGGACTCCCTGTGCCAGGGCTGGACAATCCTTTAAGGAAGAAATAATTCCTAATATCCAGTCTAAACCTCCACAGCAGATCTGGTAGCCCTTAGGAAAATGAATTGGTGATATCCCCAATTTAAAACTGTTTAAAGGGTTGTTTGCCCCCAGGAGCACCAGTGACACCTGGGAGCAGGTCCATGTGCTGTTACCTTGCCATACTCCTCCCAGGAGTTGCTCCAGGTCCAGTAGTGAGCTTTGTAAAGCCCAACTCTCACCGCCATCATCTCGTTGCCACGATAATAGAATATGGGCCTGGGAAAGAGAGCAGAGCTGCATGAGAAACACCACCACACTGGGCTGATAAGGGAGACAAACACCTTAATGGAGTCTGACTTCCGACGTGGATATCAGGCAGGAACAGGCTGCCTCCTAATAGTCTCCTCTGCAAGGTTTTCAATTAACATTTCTTAAAGTGTTCATCAAGTTGAGAGCTCACACAGTGCAAGAATGAAACATTATCCAGCTTGGCTGCCAGTGATTGTTAATCCTTGAACTATCAGCCCCTGGTATTTCCTATAGAGCGTGTCGGTTTAAACATCAAATGACTCACAAGTGCTGTGTGTGTGAGGGAGAAACTGGGATTCAAAGGCTCTGGGATGCTCAGTCTCCTCTTCCCAGGAGCACCAAGTGAACTCCACAGCTATGCCATCAAGCTGTCAGTGTCACCCAGGCAGGGTGGCCGGGAGGACACCAGATGCTGGTGTGTTCTGGATGACATCTCAGAAAAACTCCATATGGAAAAACCTGGCAGCCAGACATGCTGTATTTTTAACTCCTATCCATTTTTTTCCCCCCCAAACCTCACTTTGCAGCATGTAAACATACTGCTAAAACTGCATTTTTTCCCAGAGGTTTCACTAATTAAAAATACATCTGGGAAATGCATCTCATTCAGTGCACCTGTGCACTTCCCTGAGCATCCCAAAAACGTTCCTCTTGGTTTCCCCAACAACACACAATCGTTTTTTTTGAGGAAACAGCACAGAATTTTACTGAAATGGACTATGTGCAGGAGAGAGGGTTGATTTGTTGGTGCAGCTCATCATACAAGGACACCAGATTTGGGCAGCTCTTCCCTCCAGTTGTTTTGGACATGATGGTAAAGCTGTTTGTCACTATCAGGGGGTACAAACATCTTTTCTTTCCTTCTGAGATACCACTCAGCAAAAACTACTCACTCTGGCGATGCCACCTTGAAAAAACTGTCCCTAAATGCAAGGTAAAATTTAAATATCTGTGTCTGAATAATGGGGGTGGCCTTAGATCTCTTATTTTAAAACCACAGCCTCACTGTGGGTTCTTGCACAAACAATGAGCCTTTGTCACCAGGAACAAAGGGAAAGCAACTCTGTCACCAGGAACAAAGGGGAAACAACTCTGTCACCAGGAAGAAGGGAAAGGTGCTGCCAGCAGAGCCCACTCCTGATCCTTAACATGCACCTGAAAGGTGAAATAAAGGCAGGGAGAGACCTGCCAAATGCAGCACCTGATCTAAACCAGTGCCACTAACACGCCACCACCACGGAAAAATGCCACAGAGTACTCCAGTCTCTTTTTTTCCTTGCCATAAACTCTCATTATTTGGCCAGTTATTACGTGCCCCTTTGACTGAAGCATTTAGGCTTTTCCTTTTTTAAAAAATATATTTTCCTTTTTGAAAGAGGATTCCAGCTTGTACTCAATGATCTGCTATTAATGATTTCTTTTTTTTCCCCCGTTCATTTTTTCCTTTTCAAGCTTGAAAGAACACAACAACTGCATCTCCTGGAAAGTTTTTTGGGGGCTGTGGAAACTGTGACTTGGTCAGGTCTAGGGGGGAAGGAAAAAAAAAAAAAGAAAAAAAAGCCGTGATGTGCTCTGAGTGTATTGTAACACAAAGAGCACCAAGGGGTTGGTGACTGCAATGAAATTCCCTTTTAAAAAAACAAGGAAGTTTTACAAACTTCCAGAAGATGGGACAAGGAGGAACCTGCAAGGCTCATGGCAGCTCTCGAGTAACACTGCAGGCATGCCCCTTGTTAACAGGCACAAAAAGCAACTTTACAGCACAAAGGCTCAAATTCAACAAGGAAAAGAGTCCAAAGATGTCTTCCACACATATGTTTCCTTATTATCTCATAAAGTGTATGTTTGCATTCAGATTTCCCAGGCTGCCAAATTCCCCATCAAAATCACAACTACAAGACCTCTTTTGCCCTCTGACACTTCCAATAAAACATTTGTTGCAGGGATATTTGCTGCCAGACCTCAGTGCCTGTACCCAACAGCTGACAGCATCATAAACATTCCAGGTCTTTAACCCAAATCTATCCCTTCAGAAGCATCCACAGAAGCAGGACCTTGGAAGCTCACCCACAGCAGCACAGCCTTTACCTCCACCTCTCCCAAGCAGGGGCTACAAGGACCCAGCACACTCTGGGATGCTTTTCGAGTAATAAATAATGTATTCTCCCCTACCCAGGCTACAGTTCTCAGGCTTTTATCTCCCCTCCTGCCATATGTTGTTCCAAGGATCCCTGCTAACCCTGTGACATTTTCATCTGTCCCCAGACTCCATTGTATGGCAACATGCCACACGTCAGGAAATCCCACCTCAGCGGAGAATTAGCACAGTGTGAAGCTCTGGTGCTGCCCCACCTCACTGAGGGGGGACAAAGATGCATCAATTCAGTTTATAAAAGATATCTGTGAGCTTGTTTTAAAAAATAATCTCCAATTTGGCATCCCTTCAGCTGGGATGCAAGGCAGGGAGCTCTGGGCTCAGGACTAACCTGTCAATTAGTTTGCCCTGCAACATGACAGGTAAAAGGTCGATGCCATCAATCTGTCTGTCACTGGGAGGCTGGAGACCCGCCAGGGAGAGGCTGGTGGTGAACAGATCCATCACATTGCCCAGCTGATGGCTGACCTGGAAAAATAAATCAACAGAAGCACATTTGCAAAGAGCCCTTCATAAAAATCCATAAGGAAACAGGTTCCCACCAAAGCTTCCTGAAAACCTCTCCCTTTACGGTGCTGCCATCACCAGCAAAGCTCCTCTTAAAATAATAAAGGAAAGGAGATGATCCCTATTTCCCCACTTCCAGGGAGAATTTGCATTTTGATTCATTTTTTTCCATTTTCCTCTCTTTCTTCTCACTTTTACAGGAGCGTGTTGTTGCAGAGTTCAACTTAATTTAGCAAATTCCAACTCATTTGTGGATTGAAAAATCAGCACTTACACTAAGAAAAAAAATAGCCCTTGATTTGTTCCCTTCTCCAGGTCATCTCTGGAGTCCAGAATACCCTGAGAGAGTTCCCAGAAAGCACAGGGATAGATGGATAATAACAAAAAGAGCCTGATGACTTCATCTGCAAACCATTTCCAACAATTCAAGAACTGTAAAGTTGTGGTATTTTTAGTCCATATTTTAATAAGGGAGAAAAACATCTGGGTTTGGCTCCAATGGAGATGTTTAAGCTGCTTTTCTTTTTTTTTCTTGTCTTTTTTTTTCCTTTTTCCTTACTTGGAAGCCATACTTATCTCTCTGCTCTTAATTATTTATATTTTAAAACCCTAAAAGTCTGTTCTGACTGATTCTTTCTGAATCTTTGCTCCCACCCTGCTTGGAGGATCTGTTGGAGGATGTTTAATTAGTCAGTGACACACTAAATTAAAGCAGATACATTCAAATCAAAAGCACCAGGATGCATCAGCACAAGATGTGACATGAAAAGAGCATTTTCAGCTCTATCACTTGTTGGAAAACACGAAACCATCGGGTACAAGCCCACATCTGTAAGGACAGCAGCACTTTCTGACTGAAATCCAAGTCCAATCCCAATAGTACAATGTTGGGACTATCTGAATCCTTCTACTCACAAACAGCCTGTTAGCTGACACTAATTATTTAAATACAACAAATGATAACATGATATATGAGTGTTTGTGAGATAGTGGCTCTAGAGGAAAAAAAAATAAAGGAAAAATGCTATTTTTCATGGGACTAAACACTGTATTAAGAGACTGGGCTGAAAACTGAACACAAAGGAAGAATTAAGAAGTTTAAAAAAAGGAACTGCAGAAAGCAACATCCAGGGGCCTAATTACAAGTTTAACATTACAATATCACATTACTTGATTACAGTAATTTCAATTTTTAATGGCTTTCATTCATCAAAAGGTGTTGGCAGGAACACCTCATATTAAAGCTGCATGTGAGACTCTGCCACAACTCCTTGAGAGGGAACAAAGTGCAAAGCTCGAAGCACAAGAGGAAGCCTGGCCATGGAAATCCTTGCTGGGGAAAGCAGTTGGATCAGATGACCAAGATCAACAGGTCTTGGGCATTTGAGTTCGGGATTTATTCCTGGACACTGCTGGAACAGCCTGGAAAAGGTCATGCTCAGCCTATCCTTGTAGGAAATGACAAATAAAAGGGAAGTGGTGGAGTCCCCATCCCTGGAAGTGTTCCACTTCAGGCTGGACGGGGCTTGGAGCAACCTGGTCTAGTGGAAGGTGTCCCTGCTCATGGCAGGGGGTGGACCTGGATGAGCTTTAAGGTCCTTTCCAACCCAAACTGTTGATGGTTCCAGTCTATGATTCTGTAAGCTCACAAATCCCTCACAAAAAGCAGGTGTATACATGAAGTTCCTTCTCTGCATGGAGAAAAGGCTGGGGATCTTCAACTCTGGAGAAGGAAAGAGAACCAAGCCCTTCATGGGGTAACCCTGTCAACCACAGGATGAGCTGGGACAGTGTTCTGTGCTCCATGGACTGCCCCCTGGCACAGTCTCTGGCAAACTCAGCCATGACTGACATTAAAAAACAATGTACCAAACCCAAAACCCAAACCATCAGCTCAGCCACAGGATCTCAGAAGGGGTGACACTAGAAAGGATCACAGTGGGTCATCTGGTCCAACCTCTCTGCTCCAGCAGGGTCATCCCAGAGCACACGGCACAGGATTGTGTCCAGATGGTTCTGGAATATCTCCTGAAGGAGACTCCACATCCTCTCTGGGCAATCTGTTCCTGCAAAGGAAGGAAGTTCTTCCTCATATGCAGGTGGAACCTCCTGGTATAAGTTTGTGCCCGTTGCCTCTTGTCCCATTGCTGGGCACCCTGGAGCAGGACCTGGTCCATCCTGTGACCCCTCCCTGCAGACACTGACAGACATGGATGAGGTCCCTTCTCAGTCTCTTCCCGAGGCTGAACAGCCCAACTTCTCACAGAGATGGTCATCCCCCTGGGGTGCTGGGAATGCTGAAGTCAAGGGATTACAAGACCTCAGCATCTCAGCAGAGGTGCTCAATCCCTCGTAGGCTCATCCACTGGCTAATTCCCACCAGGAGTGCCATGGGAGTGGCAGGACCAGCCCACCACCATTTGCAGAGCTCAGGCTCTACTGAAGAGCAGATCTGGCCCCCGCATGCTCCCTCCCAAGTGCCACGTCAGGAGTCTGAGCCTTTTTGTAATTAGACCTCTCACAATTCATAAATCAAATCCAAAAGTCCCTTTCCTTGTTGTGGCCCCGTTCTCTCGCCTCAATCTTTTGATAAGAGGCAATCGCTGACCTGAGGCTCGTGCCTCTAATATCCCCTAATTTATACAGAGCGTGGGGACAATCCTGTGGGGCCACCACGGTCTCCTTGTCCTGGCCCTTATTAACCAGCACCAGATGTAGATGACTCTCTTTAATCATCCAATTACATTTCTGGTCTCAGACAACATTTTTTCCGTGAAGCAGAGAAAACTTCTTAAGGAAATTAAATGCCCATGCCACAGCCACTTGGATTTATCTGTGCTCTGCAGCACCACATTGAAGAAGGGAGAAGGAAAAAAAAAAAAGGTTAATATTTATATAAAACTTTGAAGTATTTTCAGCGAAAAAAAAAAACCCACCATTTTTCTCCTGTCAACAGTGCTCTTTCATTCTAGTTGCCTTTCCCATTTATTTATTTATTTATTTATTTATTTATTTAAAAGAAAAGAAAAAGAAAAATCCAGAGAGGGCAACAGCCCAGAGAAAATAAATAATATATAAAAACCAGGGAGATCAGATATTGCTCGTATCAGTGAGGAACAGCCGGTATTACGGACGTAAAAACGGATTTTTTTCCCCCCTCTTTCCCCCCCTTCTTTTTAATAAACTCTCAGTATACACATAACGTCTTTAAGAAAATGAAATCCTTTTGCTGTGGGCCACGTCGCTGGAAGAAATAGTCCCCAGTGCTGTTATCAGAGCTTTCAAGCTTTAACTCTGAATCAAAGGCGACAATTAATAAAGTCGCCCCCGCCAGGAATGGAAAGGAGGAAAGCTAAATATTTGAAACTGGGTGAACAAATGTCAGGGTGTTTTTAAATAAAATCCTTTTACAGTTATCACAGCGAGCAGACCTGATATCCCTGTCTAATTCAATTTCAATTTGCGCCCCATGGGAGATAGGGAAGAAAAGGTTGCAATGCTGTCTTTGGGTTGATATGTTCTTTTCTCCTTCAGGAAGCAGGCACGAGAGAGGAAGGGGAGGAGGGCGAGGGGAGAGAGGAGGAGGATTCAAATACCAACAGAATATGATTTTTTTTTTTCCAGCTGGATCCTTCCAGAAGGCAGATGTGGTGTGGGGAATGTTGAAATGCTGATTTGTTGTGAATTCACCTGGAAAACGTAGCCAAGGAGGAAACTGCAGAAAGGCTGTTTGTGTGTGAATAAATATTCCTGATGGGGGACCAGAATTCACTGAATGTTGATGCCAAGAGCAACATGCATTCCCGAGGCATCTTCCTCCTCCAAAAACCTGCAAATCAGCCAACTGCACCAATTATCCCAACCTCTATCCATATCCTGTCAGGTGCTCACAGTCCTGTCACTTCACTTCTTTTGTTTAAATCAAAAGGTGCTCCTTTATTTTAGCACCCAAATGCACTCTTTAATAAAAACAAAACCAATAAGATTATTAATAAACTGCCAGATAAAATCATGAAATGGTTTGGGTTGGAAGGAACCTCAAAGCCCATCTCGCTCCACTCCCTGCCATGGGCAGGGACACCTTCCACTAGACCAGGTTGCTCCAAGCCCCATCCAACCTGGCCTTGGACACTTCCAGGGATGGGGCAGCTACAGCTTCTCTGGCCAACCTGTGTCAGGGCCCCATCACCCTCACAGGGAAGAATTTCTTCCCAATATCCCATCTGACCACAAAAAAAGTCCCTTTCCCTCCTTCATATAAGCCCCCTTAAGGCAGTGCAAGGCCACAATGAGGTCTTCCCAGAACCTTCCCATCAGTGGAATGAGCCTTCCACCCAGCAACTGGATTTCACTGGCCAGAGACATAAGCCCTCCTCTTCTGGCTCCAGTTGTTCCTGTTGAAATGACTCCTAGCCCTCTCTCTGCTCCTCAAAAGGTCCAGGGCTGGAAAGGAACAACCAGTGTACAGGGAGCAAACCCAATGCAGAAAGGAGCAGTAGATCCAGCTTTGTGCTGAAGTTCAGGTCTCTCTAGCCTTTGTTTCCTTCAACTCTTTGGAAAAGAACGAGCAGTAAAAGACTTTTTAAGGAGTTTTACCACATTTTACCGCTACTTGGGGTGCACAGGGCTTAGGCTGAGGAGTTAAAACTCACAGTCAAGAGGATGTTGAAGCTACAGATTTTGCAGGACACAGGAAAGAAGCCAAAAATGTACTACCAAACACGTGTCTCTTCACTTTGTGAGTGAGAGAGGCACTTGCGGAGCAGTGAGTGCCATCGTGAGCTGTATCATACACAAGCAAAGCCAAACCTCTCACCTTTGGTCAGTGCTGCTGAGGGGACCAGGCTGGAGCCTCGATGGCAAGAACACAAGCAGAAAACACACATAAGTATCTATCACATTTACTGAGCAGTAGCATCACACAGGGTTTAACTCTGTCTCTGGGGACAGGGCCAGAGATCAGAACTGGCTTTGCAAGGACACAAAGTCCAAGAGGACACCATGGGAGCCCATGCACACACCTGGCAGGAAGCATCCTGAACTGGAGACTGGGATAATAAGGATTTAAAGCCAAGCACATGCTTAAAGGTGATGTCAGTATGGTGGAGGAGGGATTTTGGGTGCATCCCTGCCACAGTGAGCTTCAGGCACACTCTCCAGATCACTCCCTCAGCCCACCCTGCAAACACCTCAACTCTGCCCAGCAATGCAGGAGTTCAACTCCCAGGAATTCAAGCAGCAGCTCCCAGCATGGCCTCAGGCAGGAAGCCGCGCATCACCCCAGGCCACCAAGAACATTTGGAGCTTCCCCCCTGTGCCACATGCCAAAAACTACCTGTGAGAGGGTTCCCAGCCAGGCCCAGGCAGAAAAGAAGCAGCCACAAGGATCTCTCTACTCCTGTTCTTAATTATCCTCAGAGTTACTACAATGGAAAGAATTTTTAAATGTGGGTATTTTCTTGTCCCCATTTATAATGCATGTTTACTTTTAGCACATTATTTAGTTTGGACCCAGAAAACCAAACAGTCAGCTGCAGTTTCATGTTCTCCTTTGCTAGCCCAGGGCTGTTGTACTTGGCTTGCAAAGGCTTTATGGAAATGTTTAAATTTAAACAAAAAGACTGTTTTCATTTCAAATTAGAAAAATAATAAACCATCCTTAGTAGGTTTGGTGAACTCTTTGCAAATGATGAAACCAAACTACACCCCTGCCCTCAGCTGCAGATCTGAGCTGCCTGATGGTCCCTCTTAAATGTAAACGATAAATTATCATTATCCTGACTCAATTAAACCCCCCCAAATGGAATGCAACTTAGAAAAATGTTTTATTTATGAATAGTTTGCAGGCTTAAGCACGGTGGCCAGTTAATGAAGTATCACTTTCTTCAGGGATGAGAGATGCTCACAAAGGGGAGGGAGCTGTGTTATTGCTGTGAACCCAGCCTGCAGCAGGATTGATTGCATCCTTCTGTAATGAGAGCTGGGACAAGAGGGGTTGGCAGTGCCACTGGAGGGTTGTTTTGAAGTGATCATATCTGCATTTGTGTACAGGCAGGGAAGTGTAATAATCTGGTGGCTAAACCTCCCTGAATGGAACTTTTATTAAGTGAGAGCCGTGAGGGTCAAATCATTGGTACCTCAGGGCATGGAGAACGTGGGTAACGCATTCCTGCTCTGGAATGGGACACACATTAGCAATGTGTCTTTATACTCCAATTTGTTCAAACACATGAAAAATATTGTGGTCTGAAAGAGTAAAGGGTTTAAATAGAGCAGGAAAACAAGCCCAGACCCTGGTTGGGTGTTGATCACAGACACTGCAGATGCAAATTTGCACTAATAACAAAAATGGCACCGTTTTCTGGGGCAGCATCAACTCCTTATTTACATAAACATCCAGACTGACACACTGGGCATGTTAAAAGTATGAAGCAAAGCCCACTGAACTCAGGAAGTCCACCTAAGGCTGCTGAGAACTGTTCAAAGCAGATACTCACCCCTCCTGCAGGGATATGGCCAGGCCACCAAGCAATTGCCGGCTCTCTCATGCCACCCTCAAAGGTGGTTTGTTTGCCACACAGAAAAGGCCCATTGCTTCCTCCTAGACAGAGAAAAGAAGCCATAACCCCCACAGAATACCAGTATTCCAAATGAGATAGTCAGCTAGGCTGGGTTTAAATGAATTTTCATTTCTGCATGAATGTTTCTTCAAATAACATGTCCAGAGTTGGGTTTTTTGTTATTATTTTCTTGGGGTTTAGTTGAGGTTTTTTTTCAATATCCATTTGTGATGAAATTTTAGGACTCTCTTTTCAGCACAGGGAGAAAGTGACAGTTAAACACACCTTGCTATCAAAAACCAAACTAAAAAACCAAAACCCAAACAAACAGGAAATAACTTGCTGTTTTTCCTTTCCTTTAAGGGTGTTAACTGTTGTCTGTAACTAAAGGAGATCTACCACTTCCAGGTAGAAATAGTATTTTTTCATAATGATTTTAAATTTTAAAATATCAGAGCAGTATTAGATGAAGGTACAAGAGTGAGAAAAATAATCCTGAATTCCCTGAATGTTCACTCTTAGTGATGACAAGGGCTTTTCAGGAATATCTGGGGGTTTAACCCAACCTTGGAGCTCAACTTGCCAAGGAACAAACAGGGAGGTTTCATCATTGATTCCAGGTCACCCAAAGTCAAACAGTGGTTGAGCTGAAATCAGAATTCAGGATACTCTCTGCTCTGTGGTCCAACAACCACAAGACATCCTGCCTCCAAATAGGAGAGAGTGGGTTAGAAAATCAATTTGCAATGATCTGTTGCAGAGAAACAATCACTTAAACAAAAGAAAAACTCGTGAAGTACCAAAAATAGTTTTTCTTGTTAATATTTCTCATGAGAGGTCAAGAATGAGGGACTCTTGAACTCTCTGTAATTACTCAGAAAGCTCAAATATGCATTTGGCAGAGCAGGAGCTAACACCAGCTAAGTCAGTGGGCCTGGTCCTAAATTACAAAATAGTCACTCCCTGAGTGGAAACACACACAGGTAACAGCAACACTAGGGCTGGAGAAAGTCCATTTAAACAGGGATATCCCCTCCAACAATGAGCAGAAGTAATGAACACAAATTCTAAGCATAAATACTCCGAATTCTGAGGCTTCTCCCAACTGCATAAAGGAGAACCCCACGTACAGGTGTTTTTCCCCCTCAGACATGGAGATTTAATTGATTTCTCAACCCTAGCCCAGGTTTGTTCACCTCAGACTCACCTTGTTTGGGAGCTGAAATGAGAGCGGCCCCATTATCCGAGGTGAAAAACACGAAGGTGTTCTCACTGATCCCCAGCTGCTGGAGGTGTCTCAGGATTTTTCCAATGCTATCATCAATTTCTCTCACAGCATCCCCATACCTGAGCCAAAAGGGCATGCAGAACATTAAAAGCAGCAAAAAGTGCACTTAGTGGACTTAACTTATACCTGTGCTGCAGAAATCCTTCTCTTATGCATCAGAGAATAAAGTTTTCAGCTGTCACTGCAAACCTTGTGCCTTTTACCTGCAGAGAACAACCTCTCTAAGGTATTAAGAGTCAGAATTTGTTCATGTGTGAGCCACTCGTGGACAGAGACCAGCAACTGGTATAAATTTAGCTATAAAATTTATAAATATAGGCAAACCTACTTCGCCATAAACTGGAAGGTAATAACAGAGTATTGCCTTTTGGTTTGAAACTCTCAGTGCTCCAAGCTCACAGTGTCCACAGAGCTTTTTGCCTCCTCTAAATTGGATTTTTCTACTTGCTGGTCTGATTTACGGGCTTTTAAAACAGGCACTAATCATACAACAGCCTTCTAAAAATCATCTGTGCCACATACAGCATTTCATTCCTCACACAACTGGCAAAGGAGCTTAAACTCCCCCCTCTCCCCTGTTTTGGTCACATGATCTTAATTTCAGATTAATGCAAAATTATTAAAGAACAATCCAAGCAAAGTGCTACTAAATAATGCATTTCAGCACACACACGCTACACTTTTGAGAAATGAGCTTTACACTTGGACCTAACAAACATTGCTTAGGTTTTCTGTTTCTGTGGTATTAATTAAAAAACCCCAATAAAACTAACATCCACAAAAGCAGGACTTACAGTCCTCTCTGACTGGTGCCCAGGAACTGTTTGGAGGCATAAACAGGAGCATGGGTAGCATCAATTGCCCAGTATAAAAAGAAAGGCTGCTGGCTGGCCTGCTGCTTGCTAATAAAATCGAGAGCTTCCTGTAAACAACAAAAAAAATGAATTTATCCTCTACAATCTAAATCTCTCTGAAAAAAGAAGCATAAAGTCACCGTGGCTTAGAAATCACGATTAAAATAGTACCTGCAGGTAGAGCTGAGTCAAGTTGGCTTCACCCGTCTTCAGATCAATTTTGAAATCGTCGTAGTATCTTAAGATAAAATGAATCAGAGAGACAAAAAATCAATCCTAAGGAATATACAACATAAAAAGGATTTTTTTCCCTTTATTTGCTTTCTAAGTAGGTGACAAATAAGTCACAGCTGCTATACAGCAAACTCACTTCAGATATTAAAAATATGTCACCATAACTTTTCTTATGGGAGAAAGCAGTGACACTGAACCAAACTGTGACAGCTCAAACCCAATTAATGATGACTTCACGTTTTTGGACAAACCTGAGGGACTGGCCTTTTACTGTTAAGCTGTTGGAATAGGGGCAATATGATTAAAGATCTCGTGCTCCATCATAGAGAGCTGTTTGAAATGTGAGTAGAATTGTGAGAAGTACACAACAACTTCCAGTGAGACAGAGAAATCCTGGAAGCAGAACAGGAGAATAACAGCAGAGAAATAAGATGATACCAGGGTCAAAAATGAATGGACAAGAAGGGCACGGACTGCAGACTTGGAACGTGGAATGGTGTTATGCAAACAGGCAAAATGTTATTCCAAACAGGAAAAGAAGGAACAAAGAGGTCTTTCAGTACAGAATGGAACCAGCTTCCAAGTGCAGTGGAATGAAATCATGACAGGAAGCTTTTAGGGTGCAAGGGGATGAGCAAACAGCTCTGGGAGGGCAGCACTCGGGAGCAGCCACATCCCTACATAGTCCACATGCAACTTGGTACTCAGACCTTTATCAATCATAGAATCATGGAATCAAAGAATGGTTTGGGTTGGAAGGAACCTTAAAGCCCATCCATTTCCAAACTCCTGCCATGGGCAGGGACACCTTCCACTAGACCAGGTTGCTCCAAGCCCCATCCAACCTGGCCTCAGGGAGAGCCCAGAAAATAACATCCCCAGGCAAGGAGCTGAATTACCTGCCAATCATTTCCCAGTCCCTATACACAGGGATGTTGGGGAGCTCTCTGTTATCATAAGGTCCAAAATGGCAGTTTGGGGAACCAAACCATTCGTCAAACCCGTGTTTCAAGGGGTGGAACTGAGGTCGGTGCCCCAAGTGCCTGGAAACAAAAGCAACAAATGAGTTAAAATTCTGCTGCAAAGAAGCAAATAATAGTCTCATCAGAATGGCATGCAAGGAAACAATCTCTAAGAAGAAAAAACTTAAAGCATTTCAATCAAATAAATGACTCCAGAGCAGTGTCTTGATCTGTCTCACACTTGTTGAAAGCACATCCATGTGGACTCATCCCAGTGCTTACATATATTCCATTTTACCTACTGTCCAATCTTTGTTTCTCTTTATTTCCTTCCATTGGTGTCTTCTCTCATGCTGTCTGATGATCAGCACTGAGGGACTACACTGCCCAAAACCACTGCAGAGATGCACATAATGTTTTACTCAAGGATTCTGATCTATGACAAGTCATTTTTATACTCCTGAGCTGTAAAAACAAAAGGCAAAGCTCATGAAATGCACCATTTTATCTGCATGCCCATTATGGAGTATTCATGCTGCCAAAATGGTACAAAGAGACCTGAATGTAAATGAAATGAGGTTTTTTATGTGCACATGTGGACATAAAACACATTTAGCTACTCCTCATGACAGCTCCTCTCTACTGTGCAGCTTGAAAATTCTCCATCCTTAACTTCGAGATGAAGCTCCTCTCTAATCTCCAATTTTTGCACTGAAAATTCTATATTTCCTTCATCTATACCATCTTGAAGACATAGAATGCCTATCCTCTCTGCCACTAAAGGGAATCTCTGCATCTTAATGCTTATTTAATCATTCCAGCTTCCACTCAGAATCCTACATCTGCATCCTGTCCACTTTGTGCCAAAACCCTCTGCACCTTCTAAACACAAAGGGCATAAAATGCACTCCCTGAAGTAAAACAATCCACGGAGTTACTCTGGGCTATTCCAAACTAAGTTATAACAGGAAATAATCATCATTCCAGCTCTGATCATGGCTTGGTGATGTAACTATCACTGCAAGTCCAATCTGCAGGATTCCATCCTTTCCTCATTTATAGACATGAGAATACAAAGCTATTCCTGGCTGTTTCTACAAAAGGGGAGATGAAAAAACATCTTATTCTAAGAAAGCCCTAAGAGAACTTACAGAGATATTAAAGAATTACTGAGATGCAGATTATTCTCTCCCTTTCACAACACAAAAAACAGAAACAGATTTAACGAAACACAACAAATTCTGAAATGGTCATGGAAAATACTTGACTTGCAAACTTATAATTAAACCATGGAACTTGGTTTAATTATAGGACACCCTGAAAAGTTTTTAGAAGGGATGATGAAACAATATAAAAATCTCCTGCTGGAAAACTTAAAAATCTTTACAAGGCTTAAAATTCTCTGTCTGACCAGGATGAGACTCCAATTTAACTACTGTACACTGCATGTCTTTACACCTTTCTAGGGAGCAGGAAACGTGCACAAATGCCAGAGCCTGTTGTTGTTCAGTATCAAGCCCAGTCCTGTCCAGGACAACATTTTTTGGATGCACAACAGTGCACTGCACATTCCCACTTAGTCATATCCCTGCTAACAGCTGCAGGTCCTTCCAGATTTGCCTTTTCCCAAATAACTGGAACCAATCTGTATTTGCCTTGTTTATTCCTTTTCCCTGGGTGTATGAATTTACATTTATTAGCACTGAACTGCATCTTATTGCATCCAGCCCACTGAGCTGATTCTTCACGGCCACTCTGCTGCTTGGATGTGTGGTGATAAATAATTCACTGTCTTAGGGTGGTTTGCTTTCTTCCCAATTCCAGCAGGTGAATCCGACCACAATTCAGACTCGCTCTTTCCTAACTTGTTAATGAAACTGTTAAATAAATTGTATCCCGTTACTTTCCACCAGAATTCAGTTTATTCACAAAAATATAGCAAGAGTCAAGGATAAAAAGCATGTGGGTGCTCGAGCAATAAAATCTTGGTGGTTTTTGATTAAATTAAGTGGTGTGAGACATGGATGAAAGCACAGTTAAAGAGTTTATAAATATATATATACACATAAAAACCCCTTCAACTCTTCATATGAAGATGTAATGGCAACACTCAACTCAGAAATTGATCCCTGCAGGGGGGAAGATCCACCACAGATTCCAAAGTTGGACATTTAAACTTCAAAACAGGGGTTTTTTTCTGTAATTCCGTTTTTTCTGCTGTTCCTCCCCAACACACACAAACTGAAATCTCAAAGCAAGAGCTCTTCAAATACATTTACCATTTGCCAATGATCTTATTGATGTACCCAGCTTTCTTCAGGAGCTCTGGAAGCAGTAATTCAGAATCTTGGATTCCTCCTACTATATCCTGTGGTGTGTATGCTGTGGAAAACAAATAAAAAACAGCTCTCTGACTCTTAAAAATATTAGAGCAAACAGTAAATGGTACTTAACATTAATAGCAGTGTTATTGGGTCAGAAATAGGAATTAATTTAGAGTCCCAGCAATGTCACTCCTTGGAAGTCCTCAAAAGAAAACAAATTGATCCAGAGAGATCAAAGGGACATCTCTACCCACTTGTGCATCAGAGCAAATAATAAAGGGAGCTACCATAAAGGTGAGAGCCTTGAAAGGGAGAATCACAAAAAATCAGGTGCTTTAGGTGTTGTATTTATATTGTAAATTTGCTTTATATTTTCTACAATGAAGGCATTCTTTTCCTAAATCAAATAACCAATAAATTTGCTCATAATACAAGAACTGAAAGAAATAAGTCTCTCTGAGCCCACAGTTCTCTGGCCTTTGTGAATCTCGGGTGTGACTTGGGGTTTGGTAGGAATCAGTCCTTGGCTGCTGATTCTGGCCCACGCGTGTCCCAGCACGTGGCATTTGTCACACACTGGGACCAAAAAAATCAACCCAGGGATCTTCCCTGGTATCACCACAGGCATGAGCCCTATAAAACTGCCAAGGTTAGAAATGGTTCAAAATGATGAAAAAATCAGAAATTAAGAAACAGAAAAGGTTCAAAATGGTTAGAAAACTGGCTGCTGAATAAAACCGTGAGCAGCCTGTTCTTTCCTCCGGGTGTCAACACACACCCCACGTGACTTTTCCTTCACCAGACCCCAATTCCACTGCCTGGAGGAAACGTTTCTCAGCCAGCAGTAGCAAATGGATCAACCAGCCTTGTTTATGCCTCTTAATTCAAGGAGGTTTTTCTGCTTGATGAGGAGGAAGCAATAAATTTCACGCTTATTACCAGCAGTTAACAGGGTAATCTTTCCGTGCCACTCTGGAGGATCCATAGGGGAAGATCCCCGAGCCAAGCCTTTGTTCAAAGCTAAACTTCCTCCAAGGCACAGAGGGAAATCAGGAGAGGGAGGGAAATCAGCGATGAAGCTCCTACCGTTCCTGGCATGTGCATTGGTGGTGTAAAAGCCATTCCTGACTGGGAGTCGGCCCGTCAGCAGCGCTGCCCTTGCTGCAAATAACAAAAACATTCATTTACATGCATTCTTTGCCTAATATTAACATGGTTGTATGAAGACTGAGGCCAGAACACTGACAGAAGTTTGTCAGTGTCCTCTTGCCATAGCCAGAACTGAATCACTCACATCAGAACTGGCAGCAACTCCCCTCTCCAGTGAACCAGGTTCTGACACACCATTTGAGTTATTCCAGGACAAATTTGAGTGAAATTTGGCCTCTTTATTAAATTATCCACTGCTGAAGAGTCATTATTTTGAATAGTCAATGTAGCAACACTTACATCTCAGTCATAAATATATATATATTATATATTTAAGAAGAAATCATAGCACAAACTGATTAGATGCTCAAGGCTAAGTTTTCAAGCTTGACTGAACAAAAATCATGAAATATAAAGAGCTGTCCAGCTTTGACAGTAAAATCAAGTCCTGACCGCAGGGAACATTTAAACAGATGTTTAACTTTAAGCATATTCAGTCCCACCATTGGACTTAGCAAGATTTCAGCATATTTTAAATGCCTTTTCTGAGCAGGGATGTCTTCAACACACTGCCAAGTGATATCCTAAATGAAAGCTCAAATAAAAAGCCCCTGCTCCTCATTTTTGTTTCAGTTATTGGCAGCTAATCGGGTTTGAGGGAAAAAGAAAGGAAAAAAAGAAACCACCTCACAGAAAAAAAGAATAGGGATAAAAATATCTGTGTCTCCCAGACCCAAACGTTTCTTTTATCTCTGGTCCCTGTCTCAAGAATCTCCAAGTCACCAGGGTCAAAAACGGGACACAACCTGCTGCCTTTCTTCACCATAGCCAACAGAATCAGACAAAATATGTTCAGCAACAGTTTAGATTCTGTTTTGTTTATCCCAAAACAAGAAAGATTAAAAAATGCAATGACTGGGGCTGGAATATTGAACTGTAATGGTTTAAAAATTCTTTTAGCTGGGCTGAAGTGATCATTGCACCAGTGCTTTGCATGAACTAAAGACTGTAGGTTTTCCAATCAAAACATAAATAAAAAGGGAGCAAAAGGCAAGATCAAAGCAACAAATCCAAAATCTGGCCTGAGGGTTTGGTTGTGAGTTCATGTCAGAGCCTGGCGAACACCCCAAACTTCCCAAAAAAAGATGTTTCTTGTGCTTACATGGTTTAAAACTCCAGTTTACTTACAGGGAGAGCAGAGGGGGTTGGCAGTATAAAAATCCAGGAACAGCATCCCTTCTGCAGCCATCTGGTCCAGGTTAGGAGTTTCCTTAGAAGGCTCTCCAAAAGCCCCTAAATCCCCCCAACCCATCTGTAAAAAGAGCACACCAAAAGATGTTAAAGTCCTTTGCCACAACCACAATGTTTCTGAGCCCACATAACATATCCCTTAATTTATAAATTTTGACAGTGCTCATCTCCCTACTCAGTGCTTTCCAAATATGACAGAAAGGATCTTTCCCAACCCTGTGAAACAGAGAACTCTTGCACTTTTCCCTGGTGGATGGGAAACTGAGGCACACATGAGATTAAATTACTTACAGGTACTAAACCACTAGTAAGACCCCATTGCCTTCACTGTTACTCAAAGGCCTGAAGCACACACAGAGCAGGGAGACAGAGGAAGTTACACATGATATACTTGGTGTTGTACAACTGCCACAATCGACCCTTCAGTTGCTGCTTTGTGCTGGACCCAAGATTCCATTTCAGCCTCTGGATCTATCCCTCTGTATATAAGGAACTAGAAACACAAGGAAAAGGTCTAAACTCAAAAGCAGCACTGCAGCAAAAACAAGGAAGTGTTTGTTTTAAAGCAAGAGGAGAGAAACCTGCCAGAGGCATCACATGTCCCTCTGCTTATCTGTGGTTTCACCCTGTTCTTCCTCCTAATTCCGAGGGGTCACGCACCAGGAGAACCATAAAATTCCCATCACGGTGTCTGTATTCTGTGCTGAAAACCATTACTGGGAAAAACACAAATAGAGGCAGAAGGTTCTTGAAGGGAACAACTTAATGAGCCATTAGGCACCACAAGTGCCAGCGATTATATTGTGCTTTAAAAAGGCAACAGATTCCTTCAGCTCAGGCGTGTCTCAGGTGAGCAACAGACACAGAGGGCAGGATGTATGGAGATCTTTAGGAAAACCGTCATCTGGAAGATGACATGAAAATATTAGGAGAGAAGCAAACCAGGAAGATAGCAGCGACCTGAATGCGTTGGAAATGGATATATTTCCTTATCTATATGGCCAAGGGGGCAAAAGCGAAAAGACTTTCAGCTGGAAACAAATCTGTGATTAATTTTGCACTTTAATGATTTATTGCACTTTTTTTTCCCACCCAGTTCAGAGAGCAAAAATTAGTGTAATTACTCCTCTTCTTGTTTAGTTTTTCAGGAGGCAAGTGTGGGTTTTTAAAATTTTTCCTGAAATGTGTTGGAGTTTCTTTGTCCATACTCGTAGATGCACCTTATTTGCTGCTACTACAACTCCATCCACCACAATTGCCACAATTCCTTGTGTAGGCTACAAAGCCAAGCTTTAACTTCAGGATGAGTCTATCTAGGTTTAAAAATCACCAAGACACCCATTTTGCAATATTTACTGTTGAATCCTTTCCCAAGGACTGTGAATTGCTCAGACATTATGAAAGGAAGAACAGACAAGATGATTAGATTTTTAGATAAGGTATTTCTTAATTTCAAATTCCAAAAGGTTTGACTTAATAGCTCAGAGAAATCTAGTTTGTTTTCAGGACATCCACACACAAGGAATAAGGAGAGGTCACCTGGGGTAGTGAAGGAGAGGACAGGAATATGCTGAGTCTGGGCCTTCCTTTCATTTCTCCATCACTTTTTACACAAAACCTGGGAAGGACTCAAGAAAGATGAGACCACGGTGGCTTTCAGAGCCAAACTTACTCAAATATTCCAGCTTATTTTACTCAAACTTTCCTAGATATCACACAGACTGTGCCTGAACCATGTGCTGGGGAGCTCTGACCATGAATCACAGCACAGACCCCAGTCCTGAGCTGTCCCGCGGCTGGAATACGGCACAGATGGGGCACAGGGAGACCACAACACCTGGAAAGGATGATGTGTAGGCCTGGAAACTGTGACTAAGTGGGATTGTGCACATCAGGGAGAGCTCTGCTCCGTGAGAGTCAGTGAGACAGAGCTCTAGTGAGCACAGAAAGCAAAGAAATACTCAAGACACACTCTGAAAACACAGGTCTGAAAAAACAAGCTGTGGCTGTCCCAGCCCTGGAAGTGTCCAAGGCCAGGTTGGATGGGGCTTGGAGCAACCACGTCTAGTGGAAGGTGTTCCTGCCCAAGGCAGGGGGTTGCAACAAGATGGTCTTGAAGCTCCCTTCCAATTGAAACCATTCCATGATTCTATGAAGAGCCCCCACCTTACCACAAGCCCCCCAGCCTGTCCCCCACAACAAGCACTCTATGGAGCTGAGGCCCCAATTTCCTTCAGAATATCCTGAGTTGGAAAGAACCCACAGGGATCATCAAAATCCAACATTGGACCTGCACAGGATGCCCCAGCAAACCCACCCTGTCCCTGAGAGCATTGTCCAAATACTCCTTGAGCTCTGTCAGCCTTGGGGCCGTGACCACTGCCCTGGGGAGCCTGTTCAGTGCCCCACCACCCTCTGGGGGAAGAACCTTTTCCTGATATCCAGTCTAACCTTCCCCTGACACAGCTCCAGTCGTTCCCTCGGGTCCCACATTGACCTCTTCCCAGAACCTGCCTCTGGGGACAAGCACTCAGCTCTCCCATGGCCACCAACCCCCTCACAGTGACCAACATCACAGAATGGTTGGAAGGCATCTCTCTGGAGATCATCCAGTCCAAGGCAGGGTCACCTGGAGCAGGTGACACAGGAACATGTCCAGGTGGGTTTGGGACGTCTCCAGAGAGGGAGACTCCAGGTTCTCCCTGGGCAGCTGTTCCAGCGCTCTGCCACCCTCAACGTAAAGAAGTTCTTCCTCATTTTGAGGTAGAACTTCTTGTATTTTAATTTATGTCCATTGCTTCTCGTCCTGCCGTTGACAGGACAGAGTCTGAGACTGAACAGAGTCGGGACCATCCGGACACCCCTTGGAGATATCTGTACGGAGAGATGGGATCCCCTCTCTCAGTTTTCCCTTCTCTAGACTACCCAGGTCCAGCTCCCGCGGTCTCTCCTCACCAGGGAGATGCTCCAGACCCCTCACCACCCCCTCCCTGCACCCTCACCCCCCCGTCCCTGCGTGTCGCAGCCCCGCGGGGTCCCTCCGTCGCGGTGACACGACCCCCCCGTGCCCGCCCCGTGCCCCCGCTCACGTCGTCCATGAGGAGCAGGAGGATGTTGGGGGCGGCGGCGGCGGGTCCCAGGGCCCAGCACAGGCACAGCGGCCGCAGCGCCGCGCTCGCCATGGCAACGGGACCCCCGCGCGCCACGTGACCCGCGGCGGGGCACGTGACCGCGCCCCCCCGCGCGCGCCCGAAGAGCCACGTGACCGGCGGGAGAGGCGGCACAACATGGCGGTTTGTATCGCCGTGATCGCCAAGGAGGTGCGGGGGGAACGGGCCGGGGCGCGTGAGGGGGACGGCGGGGCCGGGCAGAGTCATGGGCCCTGATCAGGGGTGGGGAGAGGGATGTTGGGTCAAAGGGAAACAGGGAGTCACCGGCAGCTGTGGGGCCTGAGGCTCAGGCAGTGGAGTCTGAGGGGGGCAGCGAGGTCCGGTGGGCTTCGAGGAGGGGTGAGGGGCTGGGCCTCGGGGCGTGGAGCATGAGGGGGAAAGGGGGATCAGGTGGTGTCATGGGGTCGGAGGAAGGAAGAGGGGCTGGGCCTCCGGATTTGGGGCCTGAGGGGGACAGGGGGGCCGGGGGGGGTTGTAGGGCCAGAGTGCATCCAGGTGGGGTCATGGGGCCTGATAAGGGATTAGGGTCTAGGGCTCAAGGTGTGGGGTCCGAGTAGGGCCAGGTGGAGCTGTGGAGTCCTGAGTGGGGCAGTGGGGCCAGGTGGGGTCGTGTCATAGGGCCTGAGGAGGGAAGAAGGGCCAGGGCTTAAGCTGTGGGGCTGAGGGGAAAAGGGGGGTTAGGTGGAACTGTGGGGTCTAGGAAGGGTGAGGGGAGAAGGGCTGGGGCTCTAGTTTTGGGGCCTGAGGGGGACGGGGGTTCGGGGGGGGGGGGGGGGGGGGGGGGGGGGGGGGGGGTTAGAGGGCCAGAGTGGGTCCAGGTGGGGTCATGGGGCCTGAGGAGGGGAAAGGGGCTGGGTCCCAGGTTTTGGTCCCTGAGCAGGAGTGAGGGGAACAGAACCGGGGCTGTGGGGTTGTGGGGTCGGGGAGAGGAGAACTGGGCAGGGGCTCAGGCTGTGGGATGTGAGCAGGAATGAGGGGAGCAGCACAGATCCAGGGGGAGTGGGGCAGACACTGGGGGTTGAGATGGGCTGGAATCAGAGCAGGGGCAGTGCAGAGGTGCCCTACGGTGTCCTGCTGACCTGTTGCCACCAGGAGAGGAGAGGGGTTTTCCTCAGGAAGAGCTGGGCACAGGCTCCGCTGGGATAAGGAGACAGGAGCAGAGAGGTCTGAGCCTTGTGCAGTGCCTGTGCAAATGATTCTCCTCCCACAGGGACAGCTCTGCACCGAGGGTCTGGAAGGTGTGAAGGAGGCTGTGAACATAAAATGGTTAAATAGCTCCTGACAGCAGCAGCTCTTTGCGTGAAGCACTGTCAGGGCACCATCATTGATGGAGTGGCAGGTCTTGATCAGTGTGATTTCTTCTCCCCCTCAGAACTACCCCCTGTACATCCGGAGTGTCCCCACGGAGAACGAGCTGAAGTTCCACTACACTGTGCACACATCCCTTGATGTCGTGGATGAGAAGATCTCAGCCATGGGCAAAGCCCTTGTGGACCAGAGGGAGCTCTACCTGGGGCTCCTCTACCCCACTGAAGACTACAAAGTGTATCTTTCTAGTGCCTTCTGCCAGGCCATGGTGTGTTTAATTTAATGAACACAGAGCTGCTTTCTCCTGTTCTTGGTGGACGAGTGACTCCCAACAGCCCTGTGGGTCACAGAATCATGGAATGGTTTGAGTTGGAAAGGACCTTAAAGCCTATTCAGTTCTATCCTCTGCCATGGGCAGGGACATCTTCCACTAGACCAGGTTGCTCCTGGGTTTTAATAAACTGGGTGTTTCTTCTGGGTGTCTCAGGTCAGTCCCACTGGCTGATGTTAGACCTTCAGGTCTCTGCGGTCTCCCAAACAAGTCCTACAGGCAGAACTTCATAGAATCATGGAATATCCTGAGTTGAAAGAGACCCATCAAAGTCCAACCCCTGGCCCTGCACAGGACACTCCAACAATCTCACCCTGTCCCTGAGAGCATTTTCCAACTACTTGAGCTCTGGCAGCCTTGGGGCTGTGACCACTGCCCTGGGGACCCTGGTCAGTGCCCAACTACCCTCTGGGGGAAGAACCTTTTCCTGATATCCAGCCTAAACCTCCCTGGCACAGCTGTCCCTCAGGTCCCATCACTGGTCACCAGAGCAGAGATTGGTGCTTCCCCTCAGGAGGAAGTTTCCTCACATTTCCTCTCTCCGCGTGCATTCCAGCCTGGTTTTGGTGGTTTTGCCAGGCCCTGGTGTGCCAGCAGCACAGTCCTTAACACCTGCACAGGTATGGCTACGTGACAAACTCCAAGGTGAAGTTTGTCATGGTGGTGGATTCCTCCAACACGGCCCTTCGAGACAACGAGATCCGCAGTGTAAGTGCAGCAACCCAGAGCCACCTCCCTGCCTGTGCTCCTGCCACTTACCCACACAGTGCTGAGAAGCAAAGAAATTAATTCACTTGCAATCCCTTTTCAGATGTTCCGGAAGCTGCATAATTCATACACAGACATCATGTGTAACCCTTTCTATAACCCTGGGGACCGGATCCATTCCAAGTGAGTGGGTTTTCCACACTGATCCCTATGTCTTTGTCACTTTTCTGGAACTTTCAATGTACCTATGATTTAACACGACCAGTTCAGGTGTGTTCGCTCTAAGTGCCTAAATAAGAATAGCTATGTTGGTTTTGGGCCATTTCTGCCTCATAGAAAACTTAAATAATGGTTGGATTTGATGATCTTAGAGGTCTTTTAATGGTTCTGAGTATTAAAATACAGATAAGTAGAGCAGGTTAAAGAGTAAACAACTGCACTTGTCCAGGGTTTATCCTTTGGTAGGACAGGCATTCAGGACATATAATTCCTCATGTGTGAGGAGGGCCAGAACTTCCCATTTCTCATTGTAACCTCACAAGGAATTTTAATGAATTGGGAGTTTCTATGGCCTAGACAAGAACCACTTTTACACTTTGCAGAGGCAGGTCTGCAGCCAGGATAAGACCTGTCCTTACCTCAGCTTAACTAGAAGTCATTAATTACTCAACAGACCATGCTATAGAGTAAAACCATGTGTGCAGCTTAGGGAAAGCCAGGCAGAGACACTCTGGTGTTACAAAAGCTCTGCTGTGCAGAACTAGCTGCTCCCTTTAATAATCTGTGTTTATTTCCTTCTCCAGGGCTTTTGATAATATGGTGAACTCCATGATGATGCAGGTGTGCTGAATGCCTTCCCATCCCACTGTTGGGAGCATCCCCCCTGTACAGGAGCAGTGATGTATATATTGTCTTCAGTCTGTGTAATATTTTAATCTGTAAAATAAACTTGACACCTGCAAAGTTTGCATGGATTTGTACTCAAGCAAACCCGAGTATAGCACAGAATTCACTGTTCACAGAATCATGGAATTGTTTGGGTGGGAAAGGACCTTAAAGCTTATCTCATCCCACGCCCCTGCCATGGGCGGAGACACCTTCCACTAGACCAGGTTGCACAAGATGAGCTCAAAGGTCCCTTCCAACCCAAACAATTCTGGGATCTTCCCTTCCCAGGATGATTTTTGGGTGACTCACTTTTTGCTGTTTTCACCTTGCACCTCATCCAGACAGCCCAGGCACACTCCACAGTGATTCCCAGCACAGGTACAGCTGGAATAAATCCACCCAAGGGATTAAGCCATCAGGATTGCACAACTATGTGGCTCATCCCAAACTAATCTCTACTACCATCTCCTCCCCTGCAGCTCCCTGCTGCTCCAATTAAAGACTCCCCAGTCAATAGCAGGTATTTATATGGAATAAAACACAAGTTGGACTGGAAAAGCATTCCAACTTCTTCCATCACTACGAGGTGATACAAGCAGGAGTTGGCACTGAGCAGCTACTTAGTGCTTCTCACACACTTCTACTCCAAGCCTTTCATGCCTCACAGGCAGGAGCCTGTGCTTCAAGCACCTCATCAGTGAAAAATACATAAACCAGCTAAAAAAAATAGAGCTGCACAGCTCCAGAGGATCCAGGGAGCCTGGAGAAAGCCAGAACTGCACATGAAGTTCACACAGCAGGATCATTTATTTTGAAAACAAGTGACAGTTACAATACTTTCTCAAACAGAACTTAAGTACATTTAATCAACAATAATCTGGCAAATCAGGGGAGATTCAAGCTTCTCCCACTACCTCCACAGGGCACAGCTGTGCACTGCTATCCCAAAATATTTTAATCTAAAAATCTTTACTGTTTTCACGCAGAGACAGCAGCTCTGCATTTCTTCTTCCACAACAGTCCAAACACCACAAAGTAGTTTTTTTATTAAAAAATAAGTGTCAAAAATTTACAAACCTGCCAAACAGAAGCACTAGAAAAAGCTGGTTTATAGTCAGCCTAAGGGTAGCTCAAATCAAGGTCAGTCTCTGCAGCACTGAGCACAAAATCAACACAACATGAAGAGTTAAGGCCCCAAGCTTTAAAAAATAAAAATCTAGAGATCTTAAAGGAAAAAAAAAAAATCAGTGGGATTTTTAGCCTGGCAATGCCCCCTGAGCTGTGAAAAGCTGCTTTAGGAGTTGGTTGCATCTGTTGCATCTGGGTTAGAGGAATCCTAACCAAGGATCCCGAAAGATTAGTGGGAGAATTACATAATAAAACCCATTTCCATGCAGAACTTCCTCCAGGAATACTGTCTGCTGGTGTTCCCAGCCCTGCCTCTTCTAACACAAAGTTTTCCCTTTAAAAACAAGTGGTTTCAGAACTCAAACACAAAATCAGCAGGAAAGGGAAGAGCCAGAATCTTGTTCCCTGGTCCCCCCTGTGGTGCACTTTGATCCCGATCCTCCAGCTCAGCTGGGCTCACACTATCCTCAATGCAAATCCAGAGCAGGAATGATGGTGGGAATAAAGAGGAAAATCAGACCAAATTTGAAACAACAGAGGTGATTTTGTGACTCTGCTACCGCTGGAAATAAAGTCAAATGATAAATTGGCAGTTCCTTGTAGCTTTGGAATAAAAGCAGGAGGGAGGGAAGAGGGGGTTGCTGACTTCAAAAATAAAAAGGGGGAAGGGTTTTGTGACACCCAGG